AAAGTTGCCTATTTTTACTGTATACTGTAGGAAGAATTATATTTAGTCAATATAAACATTACCAGTGGACCTGATAATTCACTCAAAGTAGTTAAATGTGACAAGATATTAGGAAAGAAGCATACCAGCAGACATTAAACGCTGTTGCAAGTTATGCAAGTAATATAGAATGATTACAGACATTTTTGCAACAGATCTTACAGTAATGCAGATTATTTCTATTTATAATAACCAGAAATTCTATTTCAATTCAATTCCTTCTTTTTAATGATATAAATGCCAAGTAAATCATTAAAAGAAATGTCAGCTCTATCAGCAGCAGCTGTTCTTACTACTGAAAAACGAGGGGAAGTGTAAGAGCAGGGCAGCTAGCAAACCCCACAGCGGTCTGCAAAGTCACTAGTGGGAAAACAACAAAGGTCTTTCCATGCAACTAACACAGATGTGCCCATAGCCAAACTGTCAGAAACAGTTAAGATGACAGCTACTCACAGTTCATTATTTCCTTCTCACAGGTCACTGGGTGACAAGCTGGGTCAGCATGCTTTGTCGGCTGCAACAGTCCTCCTCTGTCCCCCTCGGTTCTTATACCATTTAAATAAAGGTAAGCCACCCAAACTGGTATATAAACGTAAATAAACATCTTCAAATGCTTTCTAAAAATGGGAAATTAATGTTTATTATATCTTCCTTTCATTTTCAGACAGATGTAACATCTCCTGTCTGTGATGAACTGAGAACCAAATTTGTATCTGATGCAGATACATCTATTAGGATAATTTTGTCAAGTGACTAAAGTGCATAATGAAAGCTAATTTGTCAACAATTCAAAGCTTTAGCCTTTAGAACATTTACCTGGCAGATATATCATGGAAAATCATTGCAATTCAGTTAAAAGACAGTGTTTTCATAGAGGAGATTTCACAAAGAAATCTGAGTGTCCTTAAAATGAATATAGACAAGATTTAAATATTACAAAATACAGTGTAGAGCTACTTCAATAAATATTTTACAATCCAAAAATATCCAAAGTATCCAAATCACAACCCTGTCATTACTTTTTTATTGTTATTTTTTTTTTAAATACATTCTCATCTGTCTTCCTGGAATAATCATAATTCATAATACAGATACAGATCATGACTTATGTTTTGCCCACTTGGAATTTACAAAGAATGAGTAGCTTGTAAAGAATCAGGGTCAAACATTCACTTAGCTGCTACAATCAATTTTACCAATTCATAGTTTTGTCATTGGTGGAAGTGGGAGAACATTTTCATCTCCTTGGGGTATTCTTAAGTCATCCTTCGTACACTAATAAGTCTTATAAAAATGTAATAACTGAATCTGTCCAAATGATTCAGAAAAAAAGTAAAATGAAACCAATTGTCCCAGATGTGTCTTTCTTAGTATTAAATTTGACAAGGTCATAAGCATTCTGACCCAGATCCAAGAATGCTTGTAACCAAGCATGTACTTAGCTTGGAAAACACTTAAACACATATCCAGATTAGAGACAAAATCTTCAGAAAATTGTGAAGCCAGGCTTATATCTGGAAACGAAGTGATTCAATAAGGCTCAACTAAAAATACATTAAAACAAGCAATTAATCATTTGGAATGTTACTACCGCTATTCTATTTCATTTACAAATAAAAGGTATTGCTAGGAAACTCCTGATACAGAATGTACATGTACATTTTTTCTAACATTTGACAACATTCTCTGCTGTGGTTTCACATTAGAGCATTGAAGCTGCACATAACTACATTGCTAATATGCAATTTGAAGTACAGAACATTCCTCAGCAGAGATAGATACAAGAAACTAGTGTGAGCTGCAGCATGCAGTTTAAACAAGTGCTTAATTTAGAGACCTTACTCTCATCAAAAGATTTTTACTCTGCTACAGCAGGGCACAACTAGTAAGATTAGAAGAATAAGTAGTCATTGAAAATGCTGCTGGAAGTTACAAGAGTTGCAATACCCAAAACATTAAGTTGTTATCCTGATGCAAAGATGATACCATGCAATATCTTTCTAGAAGTCTCCATTCTAGAGATTTTTTGAGCGGCAACGGATTTGTAGTTTCCCATAAGTAAGCAGTAAAGATGAGAATAAGAATGAGAAGGAAATCAGTGGCTGTTAGGTACTTACTAAAGTCGTTAGTTCTTGTGTGCTTAGGGAAGAACACGAATCACAGTCACACAGATCACCTCTCTACTCATTCTGATCCTAAGCACTATGACTTAGCAATTTCAACCCTTCATGTCTAGGGACTAGTTTGTAACTGGATTTTTGCTGTTTATCTCTGGGGTAATATTGGTCTTCTAACAATTGAAAGGACTTTTTTCCCCTCAGTGTCATTTGCTGGAATGGATAAGTTGTTCACATTTCACACTGAAACTCGGGGATTCCGTCAAGTAAATCAGCGATGAGGTTCAGACTGTCATATCACATATCATGTATCATGGAACTTGGTCAAAGTATTTGGGGCACTGAAAAAACAACACTGGAAAAAACATTAAGTTATCCCCAAAGATACAGAAAAAACTTGCTGGAACTGCTAAGATAGGACAGAAAGAGAAACAAGCCCATTTTCTTTTCTTTGCTGTGATTCATCACACAGGATAATGTGCAACTGGTTAAATAACCTGAAGGTAAGAAAGGGACTCAGAGCAGCTTTCAAACAGCAAAAATAAATACGGAATCTAGTCGTATGAAGATCATTGCAAACAAATGAATTTGCAACATGATTAACCACATTCTTTGAAACTCACCCCTCTTCTCTGAAAGTCCTTCCTAAAAAAGCATACAGAATATGTGCTGTTGTTTTTTAAACATAATACTGGCTTCATTCTGTGGTGGCTCTCCATGAAAGCATGACTGTTTCTCATAACCTGAGCCAGAAGAAATACTAATAATGACAGCTCTGAATGGCACATTGTCCCAAAACACTAAGTTGAAGAAGGAATAATTTAAGGCTACATTCAATAGCTTACAAATAGACCCAACCCTTGATAGTATTTGAGACTTAATACATCCTAAGGATCTGCACCTTATAGGTAAAACACAAGACTTGCAGGAGACTTACAGTAATCTGAAGCAGCCAGACACCTGGTGATATACTCAACACCCAGAAGCACACTAAACTGCTAAGCTTGAGTAACTGATTCTCCTCTTAGAGTCACTTCTGCTCTCTTCTCAGTAATCAGTCTGCTAAACTTCAACAAATGTGTTGAGCAGGGCAGTTAAACAAAAAGAATTTGTAAAAAGACTTCACCATCATAGCAGGGGCAGTGATCATGATGTTAACGTTACTGACCCACATAGCTGGAGCAACTCCTGGAACAGAAATTCTAGGACAAGGATATAGTTTTCTCTACTACCACAAAGCATACTTCATTTTCATGTAGGACACTTTTCCACACTCTGCAAAGAATGGGGAATTTCTTTCCTACATGGAAATTGAACAGCTGATTTTTTACATTAATTTCCAGAAGGACGTTGAAGGTATACTTTAAGCTACAAAATATAGTCTATTACAGTCTAGAGGAAAATGTCAGCAAAAGAGAATTTATGTCCCCAGGTATCTCCCATAACAGAGGTAACTGCAGAAGTTTCGTATTTGTTACCGTTACTATTTACCACCAAATGTTTCTGACAATAATGTTTTTAATTTAGTATTTTTTTGTAGTATTAGTTCAGAAAAATGCTTTAGACAGCATGAATCTACTTTTGGTGAAAAGAGATGTATAAGCACCAAGTCAAGCATTCAGTGCTTCAAAATTATTTTGACTATAGTGCTCTGAATCAATTGTCTGTGTTTTCCAAGAAGAAATGTTTAGATCAATACCTAAATACTGTTATCAGAACCTGAAAGCATGGGTGGATACTCAGTTAAATAAGTTTTACTCGTTCTACTTTACTTCAATGAAATTATGTACACATAGCTATCATCACCTATTCAGACCATGACAATTAATACTCCAAACATTGTGAAAAAAGTGATTCTGTATAATCCTTACATTGCAGAAAAAGATTTTAAATTATACTGGCTCTTTCAAAAGGTAGCTTCCATAAACAGTTTGCTTTAAACACATAACAGTATTTGCAAGTTGTTAAATAACCTATGTTCAACAAAGCTTTCAAGTTGGATACATTGAGTAGCACTTGAAAAATACTATAGATAGCCAAAGAGTAAATATTTGCTGGGTCATACTATAAAGAAATACCAGAAGCTCTAGTCTTTGCACAAGTACAGCAGAAGCAACACATGGGTTACCTAAATGTAATATTTCCAAGGCAATCTCTAATATTCTAGATAAACCAATACTGGTTGTTGCTTTCAGTTGGCTGTAAATTGCTGTTATTAGCACACTGTCAGTAGTAACAACATTACTTAATTCAACTTTCCAATAGTGAGTGATGTCTAATGGCCTTTCATCTGAATGGGAATTCTTTTTTATCTTAATTTAAAAACTTTCTTCTAAACCCAAAGACTCAAAAATAACTAACCAAAAGCCACCCCTTAAAAAAAAAAGAAAAAAGAAAAAAAAAAAAAGGAAAAAAAAAAAGGTTTTGTTTAAGTAAAAAAGACTGAAACCAAGGAAAGGTTTTATGCATGCTATAACTAGAAGTAATTAAGAACACTGCTTATAATAAACTATTATATTACTTATAATAAAGTATTTACCATTTAAACTTAAATCTTGTGGCACAAACCATGTAACAATGTTGATTAGAATTTTTGTGAGGTTAGTTCTGTAGATAAAATGTAAATTTGCAATTACTATCAATCTTATCATACACATCAATTGTTAAAAAAATGCACATAAATGTCACCCTTTTTCATTAATTTCCATGAAAATCCATGTTTGCTTATCAGCCAGAGGGTTTCTGAGATATTTCTATAACATCCAGGAAATCAATCTTACATGAAACTGAAGGAAAACATCTAATGTCATTGAACAATAAATATCAGTTCTGTCAGTGGCTTACCTTTGAGCTGAGGCCTTAGGATGTTTCTCTTCTAGTTTCCTCACCAGTGCCACTGTCAGCTGTGTAGTCTCCCCTAGGGGATCTGCAGGCATTAAATGGGCGTCCAAAGGTCCTGAAAGTTGTTTCTGACTGAGATTGCTGATATTTTTTTGCAGAACCTAAGAGACAGAAGTATAACCATGCAATTCATATGCTGCAAATTAAAATAATGTGTTGTCTTCTCCAAATAAGGCTGTTGATCAACAGAAAATGTCAGAAATCCAAATAGCTATGACAAGATGCACCCAGGAACTGATTATTTTGTTGTTTCCTTTCCCTCTTACTGAGTTTTCCCACATAGAAAACAAGAAACTTTAAAAATTGTCCCATATAGAATATATTTTTAAACTGTTCTGACATGCAAATGTACAGAGAAATATGTAAATATATTATTAAATTAAGAAATCAAACGAGGTTATTTATTTAAAGAAATGAGTTGATTTCCATGTTCATATTTCCCTTTTCAAAACGTGCTTTTGAAAGGGTTCTCTCTGACCTGCCTCTGGCTTTATACTGTGACCCCTTCAGCTGAGCTGCCGATTCTGTCTCCTGATGCACTGAAGACTAGGCCCAATGGTGAATGCAGCTTTTTGTCTGGGTCATCTCCTCTTTCATTTAGTTCCTCTAGGTAGGTCAGAACAAACTCAGAGTAAGCCTGTAGGAAAGGACAGAGGCAGAGGGTGGTGAAGAAAAACATCAGCTTTACCAGCAGAATCACAACAATCTAAAACCCAGAGCGATGGGAAAAATGGTCATTAACGTAGGCGACATTACAGAAGTTCTTTACTGAAATAACTTTGTATTTCACAAAGTTTCAAATGCAGAACTAGATAATGACCTTTTCATGTGCACTGAAGTGAAAAATGTATAACATCTTTGATTGTTATGTATCAGTTTAAGAATAAAGACTGACAGCTCTCAAAACAAGAATTCTTACAGATAAAAGGAAAAAAGAACTGTATCCCTAACTTTGGATAATCATATGTAATTTAGTATAAGTTACATGTTTAGGTAGACATTTTCATGAAAGATTAGAAGAATTTTAAATTGCATATTCCAAATTGAAACATATCATACACAGAAAAAAAAAGCTTTATGATGGTTTTGAAATCAAAGAAAACGTTACTGCTACAAATAATTAGTAAATTAAATCATTTACCTTCTTAATACTCTGTTGATCCTTGGTTACATGGCCAACTGCTCCCAGCACTGCAATTTCTCAGGCTCTGTTCCTATCCAAGCAGTTGTTCAAGTCTGCTGCCTCCTTGATGAAACACATAGAATATTTTTTGATTTACACTACAAACTTTAAGTTCTGCAAGATTCTGTACTACTTTTAGTAAATAAAATGAACAGATATTAACTGCATTAAATTAGACCAAAAATAATAACCAAAGTATTTGAGTACTGAATGTCAGCAAACTGATACTTATTTATTAATACAAACCTATCACACATTTTATGGTTACAGACTGGAGTGTCTGACAAGTATAAGACAACATTTTTCAGTTGCATCAGCCATGAATTTATCAATATAAGTAATTTCATTAATAAGGCAAGTATCATTGCAATGTATTTGAACATTTTCCAAAGCCACTTCAATATGGACAGCCTACTGACTGAGTTAAACTTCAATGTTAGACACAAAGCAGGACACCAAAACTGCAGTGTGCTCTCAAAATTGGAGAAGACATTTTTGTTCATATCTTAAGAATATAAAGCTGATATTTTGTTGTTCTGGCCTGAAATTTTACTAGACACACTTAATAATAAAGCTCAGGTTTTTAGGTCCCGCTGCAGCATTTTTCATTTAGCCTTCTTCCAGGCTTCTCATGAGTGCAGATATTTTCAGTTTAGGAACACATTACATTTTCCTCCAAAATAAATCCCTGCATGACAGCAAGAGCACAGCACCCAGTGGGGTGCTATTACTCCTCAAGGAAAACCATTCCTTAGGAATCATTAACTCTTCTGTTTATCACCTTGAATATAGAATATACTAGGAAACTTTTCTGTGCTGCTTTGGTTTCATCTGCATTTTTATCTGATGCAACACAGCAATTAAGATTTCTGCTTTCAGATCTGGCTAGGTGAATTGTGAGGTTAGAGTCAATTTCCTTATATATCAGGTTCTTCCTCCAAAGCACTTTACACTCACTTTTCTTATCAGTACTGCTAGAAAAAAAAGTGGTTCCGGTCTTCCTCTCCCTCAGTTTTCACCTTTTCTCTCTGATTCGAGGCCATCATTTCTTGTGCCATAACAAAGCATTTGGCAGACATTCAATAAACAAATCCAAGCCAAAATTGCTCCAGTGAAACGATAGCTATTAACCACGTGGGTACTTCAAACCCAGCTCACTGCATGGCATATTTCTGCCAGTAGGCCAGACAGCGGGGAGGCAGAAGAGGGTGTCCTTATTTCTGCCCAGTTCAACTTGGGATTTATAGGCTTTATATTCCTTTGCATTAAACACCCATTGCAGGCACTCAGGAAAACCTCTCTCTTTCAGGAAAGCGAACACAAAAATAACTTCCTGGTGCAAATTGTGACAAAAGCCTCCAACTTTCCCAGGACAGAAAAATTATTTTGCAAGTAGTTCAACTTTAATCAAACATTTCAAGCCCAGACCACAGAATGGCCAGGGTTGGAAGGGACCTCAAGGATCATGATCTCTTAAATGTTCTCATCAGTGACTTGGACTCAGGACTTGAAGGCATACTGAGTGTGCAGACTGCACTAAGGTGGGAGGAGCTGCTGATTCCCCCAGGGACAGAGAGATCTCAGCAAACTGGGAGCTGGGCAAACCACCTACAGTTTAACAAGAGCAAGTGCCAGGTTCTGCACATGGGATGGACTAAACTCTGGATACACATACAGACTGGGGGATAAAAGGCTGGAGAGCAGCTCTGCAGCAAAGCATCTGGAGGTTCTGGCTGATAGCAAAGTTGAACTTGAGCAATCAGTGTGCAATGGAAGCAAAAAGGGCCAACCAAAGCCTGTGGTGCATCAGGCCCAGCACTGCTACAGTGCAAGGGGAGGTGTTGTCTTCCTCCAGCCCTGCACTGTGCAGCCTCACCTCAAGCAGGTTTGTGCACCACACTGCTAACAGAAGGATATAAAACTATTAGAGAGCATTCAAGGAGTATTTGGACAATGTTCTCAGAGATGCAGTTTGGTTTTTTGGTGGTACTGTGAGGAGCTAGGAATTGGACAAATAAGGATATCATTACATGTTTGCCTAATATACATCTCAGGAAGAAAAAATGAAGATTAATTTTTCTTTTCTGCTTAAGAAAGAAGAGTTTGGGAAACAGAAAAACAAAATCAGGATCAAATTATGAACCAGTATCTTAAAAATTTACCTCATGATTTTGCTGTTTTTTTCAGTATTCTCTCACATAATAAATGATTTCACAGGGTGTACTAATGGCACACACAGTAAACGTATGGGTATTAACAGGTATTAATTCCAAGAAAGTGAGTTCCTTCTCAGTCTGAACGATGTGTCACATATCATTACACTGTACTCTGCTGCTTTCCTTTATGTCAGTTTTTGTTGGCCTACATATGCTGCAACTTAAAATAACATGACACTACAGATAAACTGAATGTGATAGGAAATACATAGAGAAGTAGAAAATGCTTCAAGCAGACCTACCACTAACCATTAGTATTTTTTCCCCATAAAAGACATGGGTTAGAGTTGAAGTGTTGTAGTTGTTAAATATCAGAAACTCTTTCCATATAATGTACAAATTACAATAATTGTTATACAGAATAATCAGCATGCCTAATGAAACAAGGAATAGTACAGCTGACAGCTGCATTTTATTTTCAAAGTTTTCAAAGCATTCTAGAATAATTCCAGACAACAGACAATGGAATGGAAGCCTGTCTCCATTGTGTCCCTGTTGAAGGTGTGCGAGCATCTGAGTGCAATCCAGTGTCCATACAAAAGGACAAGAAGGGGAAAATGGAAGACTGCTGCTGATTTCCTACTGGACGTGTGGTTTCTTTTATCTTTTCCCAATCTTCCCAAGGTTACCGGTACTGTGGATGCTGTAAGCATTTTTTAAACATCCAAGTGCCTGACCATTTGAACAGGATCAATGGAAGTACCAATCTTTAGCAGCATGAATTACTGGATATGAACTACTGCTGCGTTAATTCAATCCAATATTATTTATTTTTTAAGAGGACAAGGCTGCTAAAAAAAGAAAAAGCCACACCATACTTCAGTGAATACCACAATTCCACTGACATCCATAGGAACTCCCTATTGCTGAGAGCAACGTGTATGAGCCAGCTGACCTACAAACATCAGAATTCAAACAGAATTCTGAGGAGAGCCTTGACCTCTACACACACACAAAGGAAAAGGAGTTCTTCTGTCAACACTGTATGCAGAAGACCTCATATTTTTGCTGTCCTTCTAAGATTTGATCTGATCAAAGTCTGGCAAGGAAGCTCTCGGTAAGATACTTACCAGGAAAATATGTTTTTAATCAATATATTCTAAAATAATAAAAGTAAGCAAAACAGTAACTCGCAGCTTTTTGAAAAATGTCTGTTGTGATTTTTTTTTTTCTTATTTTATTTGTAATTTTTAGTACTTCTTTCAGGGAGAAAGTTTCTAAATTTGTCATATCAGATTAAACCTGAGGGTTAAGATTTTTTGTTGTTATTCTGTTTTTAGGACACCCACTTTGCCAGTGGAACTGGCTCAATTAATTTAAAAAGTTTTAATGCACTATGCTTATATCTAATAAATACTTTTATTTTTTTTTCAAAAATTACAAACATGAATTGCTGTGGTGATGATATTGTGTCAAAAGAAAAAGGGAATATAGTAGAAAAGGAAAAATCTCAAAGTCTGGTACATTCCAAAAGTAACATTGCATCTTACAGTAGATGGAGCCGTTCTTTCCCAAACCCACTGCTGATGAATGCTACTTGTCTTTACAGAATGAGTAATTTGAGGAGTTGCATCTCATTTTATGAAAACAGAAAAATAAATTAGCAGAGAAATTGGCATTTACACTTCAAATAGCATGATTTCACAGGGAAAAAAAAAAAAAAAAGCAGATTGATTTATGAAAACACCACGAATAAACACCTAAGATGTGAAAAAGAAATAGCAGTTCCTCCTGCTGCATACAAGAAATAAGATATGAATCATGTATTGAGAATTTTTGAAGTGAAAAAGAATGTACTTATTTTCATAGTAATGCAAACGAAATCAGGATAAGGTACCTCAACTGGAATAGTTTTCTCTACATCCAACACCAATGATACATGCATTTTAAAATCTGGTTCCAAACAACATGCACTAGGAAAGAGAAGATTTTTGAAAATGCTTTTTTTCATTCTTTGTCACAGAATGAAATCAGCAGCTATCATGTTGTTCTGTCTCAGGTAAACCCAATCAGTATTTTAGGATAATAATAAAAGGCTGTGCTAATCAGGCTAAACAAGGGCAGTGGGCTTTGTAGGCAAAGTGCACTGCCATTAAAGGACTGCCCTCTCTTTCAAAGGTAAAATTTAAAAATGATCTCACCTGATACCCTGCACAGACTCTGCTCCAAATGCTACCACAGCTCAAGCTGAAAATCCAGTTGCTGAAGCAAAATCAATTTCACTGCTGTGGCTCAACCTGTAAGAGAAGTGGTAAAGGGCCCCAGTTTACAAGAACAAATTTGAAAAGCTTAAGGAAATTCTCTCAGAGCAAATCACCACAAACGTACCTGCAGATCCTAGATTTTTGAAAGCAGTAGCAGAATATTGAAATCCATTATGTCAACTTACTTTCAGGCTCATAATTGCAAACCTATACTTGCATACAACTTGAGTAATGCCTAATAATATAAAAGCAAACACCTGTACACTAATTTTAAATGAACATTTCAGTGTATTCCATTCTGTGCATTACAGAGCAATAATCTAAAGAAATTTTTGGATCATTATGCACTGTCCTCAAACATTTAAAAGCACCTTGGTCACTTATCCAAAGATCTTTCTAAGGAATACTAACGGGAGTGGCTGATCTGGGACCTAAGGGGTCTCCCCTGCCCCCATTTTAGTGCTGTTTGTTCTTTGAACAATTTTCTTTGAAATCTCTGTAGGATAAGCTACTTACATTTTAATTCTAAATATCATTATTACAAGTTACTTTCACGAGTGCCACTTCAGGCTTTAGTTCACCTTAATTTCTTATTCTGCAAAAACATTCATATAATTTATGGTTTTACAGTAAAAAAACATTTTATGCACCTGAATGAACTGAAACCTTGCCTGTTACTTGCAAAGCTATATTTTGCTTATTTTATATCATACAAACGTCTGTATGTACACACAGAAGCATAACATGTAATTTCACTAGCTGTATTCATGAATACATTCAACAAATACATCAGAAAAGTATTGCATTTCCCAAGAATTATCACCCAAACCTGATTTTCAACCTCAGAATCGCCCCTGTTTCTACTACTCCACAAAAAAAAGACATGGAGCACTGAAAGTCTAAGCTACTGGAGTACAAAACCTTTGTAATACTTTTCTCAATGGCAGAACAAACCTGGGCTTAGGGCCCAAATTTCCAGCTATTTATAGCAGTTATATTTATATATATATTTATATTTATAGCAAGTTATATCTGCTTAACATCAGTTCACGACTGAAGCCATATAATGAATCAGCATTCCCTGATTCATTTCTTGTGGGCACTTTTCAACCACCATCAGCCTCTCCTGGCCTATCAAACATGGTCTGAACAACTCTTGTATCCCAGATATGAAAACTGGGAATTGTATCTGCTAACAAGGAGAAATGGTAAGTTTGTATTCCTTTAACTACTACTAGAACTGTTCTCTCTCTGTCAACCCAACATACGATAAAATATTAAACTTAAAATGTTTTATATATCTTTATATAGGCTGAAAAAAATGAGGTTGTTGTAAAACTGAAATTTCTATTGTTACATGTAGAATGGCTAAGGTCAATACCCTATAGAGACAACTTGATCTTCACCTAAGTAAACCTTATTGACGTTTAAAACTGAAATTACAATAACAATAACAATAACTTACATTACTGCATAAATAGAGGGAAAAAAAATGATGATATTGATGCTTATAATAGTTTACATTCCTACTTTCTCTGCAATTTAAATAATGCATATAACAATTTATTCAGAGCCTCGGGGAAAAAGAAAAGATTTAAAAATCATTAAATCCCTCTAAAGATTAGGATACCCCAGAAATTAAGAAGTCAGAATTTCACATAAACTATTTGGTTTAGGTTGCCTTCATTTCAAATTCCTGCATTCGGTTTTAATTTTGACATTTTATACAGTTCTAGATAGTTCATTAATAATAAAAAACCATTTTTAATGTAACAGTTGAACTGACGATGGTTAAATAAATGCAAAGTTATCAAGTCTAGAAATAGAAGATAGTTCTGCTTGGTAGTTTCAAGGTGTCTGCGAAAAACACATTTCTGAAGTCTCATCCTACTGCAGGCAAGAGAGAATTCTTTGCATTCCAATATACAGAGAGGTGCTTATAGTTATATCAGCCAGCTAGGAACATGCATGTCTGACTTGTAGAACACTTACTTTAAATGTAAATAAATCAAAACTAGGTTCAGTACACAATCTTATTCATGTGGGACATGCCCAGCAGAAGTAGGGTTTATTTTTCGCCTAAGTGTCAGTAAGTGACAGATCTCAATGACACCCCATGCTATTTTTCTACAGGGAGTACCAGGAACTAGAAATATGCAGACTTACTACGAATCTTGACATCTGCAACATTCCCGGGGTATCACATCAGCCCCTTTAGGTTATTTCAACTTGATCTACATATCCATGAAAATAAAAATCAATGTGCCCAATGGTCTAGTAAAACATTCACCCTATCCTATGCAATTGCATCCTTTTTGGGAAGCACAGGCGTAAAGGCACAGTGACCCTCAGAGCTATGCCACTGGGAACTTATCCATCTTAGCAAATGATCTCTCATGCTGAACAAGTTAATAGATACCATCTATTAAGAGAACTTTTCCCTTGCTCCTTCTGCACTGCCGAGGCTTACTATTAGTGAACTCTAAATATCAGCAGGTGGTTTTACAGGAAATATGCAGAAAGACAAGTGTACTCGTTTAAGGCTCTGCAAGTACATGCAACATCAGCATCAGCATCTAAATTTAAGCTCCCTTTTTACTTGTATAATCTCACCACACCACAGAGAATTCACTTTACCAGTGGAGAACTTCGGGATGTTCTTAACGTCAGCTAAAAAAAAACCAAAAAACAAAAAACAAGTTTCTTTCTCTTCTCACAAGCAAAAGTTTAATAAAAATATGTACAACTGAAATGTTGTGCTCGTCTACCTCAAAACTCAGAGAACTAAGAATTTTAGATTAAAAAAAAAGTCACAGAACTTAAAAGAGCCAGTGGTTAAGTCCATTAATTTAGGTGCCCCACCTACAACCATTAACTCCTAATAAAGCCCATTTATACATTTATCAGTGTTATTGCATTTGTTGTATAGAACCTGGATGTAAACCATAACATTAGAAAGGGGGTCATTTTCACACAGGAATTTTAAAAGCCTAATTTTAAAGATGAAAATAGTATCTCTGGATGGAGGCAGGCATTAAAAATAATTGCTACAAATAGTAGTATCCTTTATTTCACACATCTTTAGTCCACAGAGAATGTTCATTTTTTTGCCTGTTGAATTGTTCACTCAGTTAAGAGGCAGTATTGCCCCAGGTTAGCTCTTCTCACCTCAAGTTCCTTTTAAAATCCAGCAAAAGCTAGTTAGCAATCAGACCTTGAGCTTCAGTGAGCTTGCAGATGTTTCTTTCACTACACACTTGGTACAATGTACTTCAGAGTGAATTAGCTTACAGCTAGTGCTTCGTCCCCCAAGAAAATGTTGTGAGCTGATGCTCCTGATCTGTTGGAGCACTTCAGCACCCTCGGAACACCCCACATCCATGACAACCTTGGGACACAGTAATTTGATAGCATTTAAAACCATTTAATAATAAGCCAATCAGGTGCTGTTCATAGTTTTTAAGCTTCCAGCTTTGTCACCTCTCCAGATACCTCTCTACTAGTCTTTTCCTCAGTGTTATAAATAAGTTGGCTTGCCTCGGTGTTGGTAGTCATTTTCCTGACAGTGATTCCCTTATGAAATACAGTGCGTATTTCATTGAGAAGATGTAACTTCATGTATCTTAGACAAAGTGAAACAAGGCCAAGCACCTCTCAGCCTCCCCTTCTCCACGCTGGGCAACCGCAGTTCCCTCAGCCTCTCCTCACAGCACATTTCTCAGGCCCTCCAGCAGCTCTGGTGCCTCTTTGGGCACTTTCAAGGACCTTCGCATCCTGGTGGTACACTTTCACTAACCTCAGATCCTCATAAAGTCACAGGAAGAATTCAAACCCAGAAATCCAAAGTTGCACACTACGTGCTATGCCTTGCTCTTTACGTATGTAAAGCGTATAAAGCTTCATCACCATTTAAAATATTCAAGAAATAAGGTATTGTGATCAGAAGTCACGCTAGTCATAAACTGAAAATTAAAAGTCAGCTGTAACATGAATTGTCATAAAGCAGATTACTTGCTACGTAACAACTACTGAAATCAAACAATATTTGTGTTTTTCCACTATTATCCAGAATTTCTAAATACATCACACTGGAAAGCCCAGTGAAGATGTGAAATACCTTTTCTGGATACTTCAGTTTATATTTAGAGATGTGTCACCACTCATTCCGACTGCAACAGGCTGACCAGCAGCTCAGCAGCTCTGTTTCACAGCTCAATTCAGAATCATTTCAGCTTTCAAATGAATGAAGAAAAAGAAAAAACAGGAAAAAAAAAAAGAAAAGAAAAAAAAAAAAAAAGAAAAAGAAAAAAGAAAAGGTTTGAATAAGTTAAAAGAACCAGAAAATTCAACAATGTGTCACAAATAGAGAGGTCATTATGCCTGGATAACCCAGGATATTAACAGTTGCAGAAAGTGAAACACTATCCACAACTTAGCAGTCAATGAGCCCTGATCAGAACCAGTGATCTTCTGCACAACAAGGGTGGCATTTTACAGTTCAGTGCAAAATGGAACAGACCCTTGATATCTTCATTTGTCCTTTTTTCTGTGCATATTTCACAGTGCAACGATTTAGGGTCCATAACGTGTCACTTGTTATACTTATAACTACAGAGTTTACTTGAAATATGTATGCACAGAAAAAAGTTCAGTGAACTGCAAAGATTGCAACAAATCTATGGCTTTGATCCACTATAAAGTTTTACTCCAAGTCTGAAACAATGCTGGTTAAATACACCAGAAGTCCTATTTGAACTACTTTTGCTTCTAATGCATGCATTTACTGTAGAAACAGATCACTTCAAGCTTTCTTCTAAATCAATGACTCAAAAGACTTTTTCATTAAATTTCATTTTAAAATAATAATGGACATACTTTAGAAGTGTTGCTAAAGTACTTTATTTTCAATATTTTACCGTACTAAGCATGGGGGTATAAGAAAAAATGAGAGGAAAGGATTCTTCTGTAAAAGAAATCGTCAGCATCTCATGGCAAATTTGAACCTTACTTTAAAAGCTGTAATAGAAAATGCCAT